CTGCATGCATAAATTGTTTCCAAATGGAAATAATTAGTCTTGCAAGGATTTAAAAATAATGTCTCATCAATGCTGCTGTTTAGTTTTGTAAGAAAATTGTAGAAGCTGTTTGGTTTTGGATTTTTTTTTTAAACTATGCTAAAACTATCATCTAGTAATGTAAAAGTCGGTTTCTAGTTTGTATGTAGTCATGGAATAAAGGGGAATTTATGTTGGACAATGCTGAAATAGCTTTTTTCAAACAAAGAAAAAGAAAATTGATAGCAAAGGTTTGTCGATAATCATGTTCATCACTTAAAAATAATATTTATTTTTAAGTGCAGTGTTGTTATGTAGCAACCCCATCCCATTGCAGTGAGGCCCACCATGCTATATATAAAATTAAACATGAAACTATTGTGATATAAGTGATCTTAATGCTTAAACATGACAACTTCGGGTAGGAATGTTTCCAGTGTTTTGCCATGCTGCAGACTGATATGATTTTTGGGGTCTCACACCAGGGACCCAGAAATCCAGGCTGATGAAGTAGGAGGCCCCTGCCCAGGACTCCTCCAGCTCACAGCAGTGAGTGGTGTGTGCTTGGAGTAATTCCTTGTATGACCAATTTCATACTCTTCACAAGTTTTTGAATGTAATAATAAATTTATTTAGCATTATAAATAATAATGATAAAAAATAAACCATAAAATATAATAAATTAAACCATGTATTTAAATGCAGTAATTTAAGTGCATTTGAAAGACAAATGATGGTATTGTATGGAAATTTTTTATTTTGTAACGGCTTCTGATCCTTCTGCACTGAGGACCTCAGGGAAAAAGGAGGAGTAGCAGTAACTGGGGAGGAGGTGACATCCCAGAGCAAGTCTCTTGGACTCAGTTTATTCACAGTTAGTGCCAGCGATTCTCAGCTGCTATTTAGAATACTCAGTTCATTTTTTTTTTCTCAGTCCCTTTTCTCCCCTTTCCCTTCAGCTGGGAATCTGGGAGCAGCCACAGCAACCTGGCTGCCTTCCTTCACTTTCCTTGTGACAGGCCTGGCAGGGCGTGCTTGGCCACAGCTTTTGCCAGAGCTTTCTTCTCACACAAAAATGTGCTGAGGAACCACATGGCCAGCAGACACTGTTCTGCCTGTGAGGATTTACAGCCTGGCCTATAGGAAGGGATGGTCCCTGGTCCCTGCCTGTGCTGCAGATGACCCAGAGCCCTTTGCAGGGATACTAAAATATTGCCATGCTCTTTTGTTCATTCCTTGAAATATAAAATTCTACCCTTTTTTGAAACCACAGAGACAGAGATGGAAAGGCAGCCCTTTGAATTTGTCAAAATTTGACTGCAGGGTTCCTTCCGACCCCTGTGCTAATTTTTAGCAGAGCAGGAAACATTAAAAATAACCATGAGAGAAGATTTCCCAACTCAGAAGGATTGTCCTCTTAATAATCTCTGGCTTTGTTTTCACTAGATATTTTTCCCCCTTAAAATTCCCGTAATGCTTTAAGAGCAAGTCCATTCCTGCCAGCTGCAGTGAGGGCACTGGAGGGGGACTGCAGAGGGCCAGGTACCCAGGCTGGCACCTCAGCTTGCTCTGAGCCAGAGGTGAGTGGTGTACACGGGAAATGCTTGTTATTTATTGGAAGAGCTTTTGCATGTGAACCAGAGCTTGCAAGCTCCATATCTTCCCTTTTGGGTGAGCTCAAAACTGTTCTCAAGTGTTCAGCTGACCGCAGCAATGAGTGGATATCATTTTTGCAATGAGAGGTGGCATTTTGGTGCTGTATCTCAAGAGCTCTGAGCTTCTACTGTGAAACAAAATGAAAAATATATCAGAATTTGTTTTAAAACCCATCTGAATGTAGCCCCTTACTCTGAAGTTGAAGTGTTGTGTGTCAAAACCAAGGCATGCATCAAGACTACATGACACAATAACAAGCTCTGCTCAAGCTTCAACATCTTGTCTTACCCATGTCTGAGTTCTCAGCATCAAGGTATAATTATATATTGTTAAAGAATAGATCATCAATGTACACCATAAAATATATTTCATTTATAAATAATGGCCTCACCTGGGCGATGGCAAAGGGGGATGCATCTTTGGATCACCATGGATCATTATTCCTACCAGAACACCTGTGCATATGTTACTCTTTGTGAGGGATGAAACCAAGGCGTGTAATTGCAATTATCACTCACCTCTGCTCCCAGCTCTCCCCACTAACCCAGCTCCTCCTGCTCCAGCAACCTGGGAGCTCCAGACGGATGTTGCAGATGTATTCTCTTAGCAAAACTGATAGCAACAATTTTTCTTTTCAAATGGAGAGGGTGTTCCACAGAGCTGGTTTAGCCAGGGACTGAAGGCAGCTGGTCCTCACTGGTGTGTGGTCAGAAAATGAGATGTGAGTTGGTTACCAGCTGGGAGGGGCCTCTAGGGTTGTCTGGGACCCCAGCAGTGTGGTCTTTCTTGAAGCATCCATGATCGAGGGATTTTGTCCCACTTAGCCAGTGCAGTGATGGTTTTGGTCAGAACTATGTTTTAGGGCAAATTGATTGAATTTTCCCTCTACTTTGTTTTAAAGCATCGGGTTTGCCCTAGGCAGAAAGTTCATTCCCTCTTGATATAGTGAGCAATGAACTATCTGAATTGTGATCACTGTGCGTGTGATTTGGAGCAAAGGACCACGATCAAGAGTGAGTGAAGGCCCAAGTGAAATTGCTCCCTGGGCAAAAAGCAGAGCCTAAAGCCACTGAGATGCTTTCTATTGCTTGGGGTGTTCAAGAAGAAAACTCTCATTTTTCATACACTTTTCCTGGTTGTTTAAGCAGAAGTATTTTTTGTCTCCTCAAAGTGAAAACGTTTATAGAGAATGGTTTTAAGTGGGGGAGTAGAGGGTTACTTGTTTCCCTGTTTCTTGTTTATCAAATAAATTAGAGATTGCTTCATCTTTAGTTAAAATGACATGGAGAAGAATTCAAATAGAAGACAATAACAATCTCAACACATGGGCACTCCTGAGATTTGCAAGCAGTCAAGTCAGGCAGCCCAGATTTCAGATGTTCTCTCTGCTCTACCCATGAAATCTCCTGGCTGCTCTTGGGAGCCCTGCCTTGCTCACACAGACATTTGGCTGGACAGGTAGAGCTCCAGCCCAGACTAACAAGATATTTAAAAGTCTGTATTAGTCTTGTCCATTCAGTGCTGTGGCTGGCCAAGAGCCTCTTTGGAACCCTGATGGATATTGTTTCTCTCAAGCATTAAATGCTTTCCCTCAAACATCTTCTGAATAGGCCATTGTTTTTGCTTCTGGATGTCTCTTTGTGGATTAATACAAGAATAGCTAAAAGCTGAAGAACTGGCATTTTATATTAAAAAATAATAATAATTCTGGGACTTCTACTCTTCTGAGAAGTTGAATGTGCTGCCAGTTCTCTGCTCAGATCCCACGTCTGATCCTCTGGAAGTCAGGGAGTTGCATCAGGAGCTTCAGATGAACTACCTCAGACAACAATAGTTTCAGGAAAGAAGCTCAATGAACCTGATGCCATTCCCAGCTTATAGAATCTAAGGAATTGAGGTGAGATAAAGTATGGAGAAGGTGTCAGGGTAGTTTGGTTGTGACCTGCAAGCCTTTGCATTAACAGACACAATTACTTGATGCATATTTTTCATTATCACTATGTAGCTGTTGAGTACTGATGGTTCCTTATAAGAAAAAGATACACATCACATGAGAAATATAACCCATGATCGCTTCAGAAATCTCATGTGTGTAAAGAAATACTCATTTGTTTTCAAGTGAACTTCTCTTGTACAGGTCCTCCAGCCCTTGTAACTCAGCTACTGATGATCTGCCCAGGTCATCTGGATTTACCTCTTTTTCCTAACAGAGCTGTGTTTCTCAGTTTCATATTCCAGGCTCCTTCAGCATAGCCATTGCAGACTGATTTATTCCTTATCAATGGCTGTGAGCTGCAAGGATGTTCTTTTTAGTGCAGCCGTTGGACTCCTCTTACCCACCTTTGCCTCTTTTGCTCAATTTCCCTATCACCGATATAAGATAAACTAGAAAAGACTCACACCAATCAGTTCCCTAAGAAATACAGAGAATTCTGGTGCTTAACACTGTAGCACAGTCCAAAGTCCATTTGCTTTGGTAAACCATCATCCTGAAGATCATCCCAGCATGTTGGGAGGAGGATATTCCTCATATTGTGTGCATATTCCACACGTGTGGCTGTGCAGAGCAGGTGTAAGAGGGAGCAGGAGCTGATTCCAAGGCACAGCTTTGCAGGTGGAACTCTTGCATTTGCCACAGGCAGCGGATTTACAGTAACTTGTGTGTGTCACTTTGTCCCCAAAAGTGCAAGCTCCAGCTGATGACAGGGGCAGCTTTGGCCTTAGAGCACCTATGCTTCCTTCCTCCCCACATCCCTTATCAAAAGCAATGTTTCCTTTGGCCCAACACATTCAGTGGTTTGATATTAATCGAGGGCTTAAGTGCCAGAAATACTGGGGAATTCACCATTTTCCATATTGATGCAGCAGCCGTAGAAACTGGAGACCTGAGGATGAACTGGGGTAACGGAGTGCTTTAGCAAAAATAAATGGTTCAGATCCAAGGCTGATGTGAATCACTCATGGATCTGCTCAGTTTAACCAAATCAGGCATGTTTTAATGCTGCTGGTTTTGACTTTCAAAACCTCAGGGAGTCCCAGGCCAAGTGCCAGAGCAGTGTCACCTTGTCCCTGTCACTAATCCTGTCACTTCCTTTCATGCTCCTTCACACTCTGCAAATTGTTTGATGCCTCTTACTGTTCCTCTGTGAAACCTTCCTACTGGATTGCATGGATGGAGGATTAGGTAAATCATAGAATCATAGCCAAAGTTTGTACTATACATAAGTATAGTCTCTTTCAGAGCATGCCTGATAACGCTATGTTTGAAAAATAATTTTTGTTTCTTTTTTTTTTTTAATAATACTCTCTTTTCCTTTCTTTTTCAGGGGCCTCTTGGCTTGGATGGCAAACCAGTAAGTAGCACTAAGTGCCAAATATAACATCTTTGTTCATGCTGCTCCACAATAAATACGCAGTATCTCAGTTATTACTCATTTAGTGCTACATGTATAACTACTTAGGAGGGACAATTGTACTTGGGAAAATTATTGCATGCAAGTTTGAATTCTGAGCCAGGGCTGGCCAGCAGAGCTGAACTTTTCTTTACCTGTCAGCTCATCTCAGCTGTCTCTTCCCCTCCTGCGCCAGCTTGGCGAGCACAGACTACAGATGGGCATCAGGCCAGATTTGGGGAATAAAGTCCAGTAGCACATTCAAAGAGCAAAGTCAGTGATCTTAGTTGCGTGCTTCTGGCACTACAGTGATACCATAAAAATAATTGATCCCAAAGCGGGTTGCATTTTCTTCCAAAGGACCTGAGCTGGGAACTGCTTGAGGGTGCCCAGTGACCATGAAATACTTTTTGGAACAGACTGGATTCTTTTATGAACTGTTTTCTTGACTTCATTTTTTCTTGGAAGCCCTTTGGATATTCAGGTGCTTCATTCTTTTCTTACTTATTTTACAGAAACACAGACGTTTTTATTTTTATGCTAATTGAACCCTAGCCAGCTCTGATTCCTTCCACTGAATGGTTCCTACAGAAGGTCACAGCTCTATATTTTGTCTCCAAACCCCATTCTCTTCTACCACCTTCACTAGAGGGCCCCATATGAAATCTTTTTAAATTCTGGTCCTAAACCAAGTGGGATTTCAAAATGGGTAAAAGTCATTCAGTCTTTGCAATTGAAAAGCTACTCTGGACACTTACTTCTATCCAGTTAGGGAGTGTGCTGTTATAGCTGTACATTACTGTGGTTGGTTTTTATCCTAACCCCGAGGATAAGAAATGTGAATAAAATCTAGAAATAAAGCATTAGACGAGAAAAGAAGGAAGGGCCAGCTCCCAGCCTGTTACCCAGGGCTTGGCTTTCATTAGCAAAACCTCATGCTGGGAGTGCAGTCAGACCCCAGAGCACAGCCCTGCCCCCTGGCTGGAGTACCACAGCCAGGCAGGAGTGAGACCCTGAGTGAGAGGCAGGGGAAATCTCGGTGACAAAGCAAACTTATCACACAGCCAGACTCAAAACAGACTGTTCATGATCTCTTCCCTGACAGTAAGGGGCCAGCAGCCTTGCTCAGAGAAAAACAGTGGGAGGGAGGCTGCATGGGAATGCAGATGCTGCTGCCACTGGCCTCTCTGCTGACCTTCCCCCACTGCATCCCACTGGGTCCCACTTCAGCACACACTGTGCATGGGTACCAAGATTTGGTACTTTTCTGTGCTGGAAGGCAAATGCAGAGCAGACACATCAAAGTGCTGTTCTCGGGTTCTCTGTGCGGCCGCCGTGTCTCTGCCTGCCCTACAGACAGCAGCTCAGAGGGAAGATGAACGATGCCTTCAGCAAACAGGCCAAAGAAAGCAGCCCGTCCTTCTTGTTTATTTCAAACAGATGGATATTTGTTGTAATGATATGCTGAGCATGAGTTTTTCTAGAAGGATTTTATATTTCAAGATATCGTTTGCATCTATTTAGAGTCAGGTGTTGGTGAGCTGCTGTAACACTGCCTGCCCTGCTCTGGTTCTTCTTTGTACTCTGTCCTGGCAGGAGCAGGCAGGACCTCGTGGGTGCTTTTTGGTTGAGTGTTGCTCATGTCCAGCACTGCACAACTTAAAATAGTAGCTTGTATTCCTTAAAATAATAGAGAATGTGGCTCAGGTTTGTGAATTGATGAATGTGATGTCACCTGCATTGGTGATTCTGCTGTTCCTTAATTTGGATTTTTCTTATGTGTTTCCAGGGACCTCCAGGACCAAAAGGGGAAAAGGTAAAGGCTGCATTAACGTATGGATTTTGGGGAAGCAGTTCCTGTATATCCTCCTGTTGCCGTAATTCTTTCAAGTTCAGGTTGCCCCAATAACCCAGGTGTGTTTTGTTAGGATGTGGAGCTGTGAGAGTGGGTTCTCACATTGCTCTTGCAAAAGCTCCAGGAAGGTGAGGGCAGGAAGAATTTGCAAAAAAGTGGGGAGACCAAGTGTGGTCTTAAAGCTCATCCATGCTATAGGGTTCTGGTAAGCCACTAAGGGTGATGAGAGTGGCATAAAACTCTCTTCATTTCTCCAAGAGATCTAGGCTCCATCGCTCTGTTTGCATGAAACTCGTGCAATCAGAGGAGCCAAAGAGGTCATTACTGAAAGTGAAGTTAATTTTCACATGTGAAGGACATAAGCAGTTGCTAGGAGAGCCTTAGAGTTGGAAACAAACTGCTATTTGTGATTTATTATCTGTTTCATTGCCTGCCAGGGCAGAATCTTTCCCTATTGTGTTGTCTCGAAACCTTCTCCTCCCACATTTTAAATACATTAAGCAATAGGACTCTTGCCACTTCCCTTGTGTGCTGTACCCGTGTCCAGCTGACCCTGTGCTCAGTCCTTCAGGGTTGAGATTTGAACTCTGACCCTTTGCTGTTTTTCCTGATTTGCAGGGGGAAACAGGAGACATTGGCCCAAGGGTAAGTAGTGACACAGCACATTGATTTATTCTAAAATCTGGTTGGGTTTAGTCACTGCACAAAACAAAGCTTTGTGCAGCCTTGCTGCAAATAGTATGGTAACAGTTGTGGAAACATTTAATTTTGCCTCTGGAGCTCTTTATGGTGATGGTTTTCCTAACTTTGGCCATGAGGAAAAAAGAGCCAAAGATCTTGGGGTACCTCATGAACGGTTTTGCTTCTACTAAACTTTCTCATGCCTTGCAGTGTTAGACTCCATGTTTCTCTTGAATTTTCTCTTGAGGCTGTGCTCCTTATTTGGTGGCATTAGAGCACCAGTATGTGGGACTAGGATCTGGTGTCCCAAGGAGAGGTCCAGCGCAGAGTTGTGCAGGATGGAACATTCCTCCTCCCTTGCTGAGAGCAGGTGACATCCAGGTGATATCCAGGCTGACTTTGAAAATAAAGGGTTTAAAGTAACTGTATGATAAGGGAAAACTCTTTCAGCTGTAGCATACAGAAATTAATGGAATTTCATTAAATTTCCTCTCATGGAGCTGCATGAAGTTGAGATTTACTGAAGTAAATCAGAGCAGATCTCCACAAGACACAAGGGGGATGTGGCCCATGTTGGGGATGAGATGGGAGGTTTCACCACGAGGTGGGGACTCTGTTGCAGAGGTATCTCTGAGGTGTGGTTGTCTGTGGGTTATGGGCACCTGCTGGAAACCCCATTGTGGGGATGTGTTGGAATCCTGGTGTACTGGTCACTGTAGGAGGCCGGATTTGGAGTTGGCTGACCTGGGTTAGATGCCATTGCTGGAAACATAACCAGGACCTCAGTGGTTAATGTTGAGTAGAGATGCCTCAGAGACATTTTTTTCTTTCCCCTGGAGGTTGTAAAATCACTTTATGAAGTTGGTGTCTTATTCTGAAGCAGCTCCCAACTGCCTTGGGTGTGTTTTGGAAATGTCACCCTGGGGCTCAGAGAGCCCCTAAAATTTTTCTGATAGATTTATGGCCTATGTGGTGAAGGAGGGGCTCAGTGTAAGGTCTCACTTTGTCTAAGTGCCCACCCACGTTCTCAGAACAGGATTTAAGAGGTGATTCAGCAGCACAGGGACTTGAGTTTTCACTTCTTGGCCAGGGCAGTGAGTGACTTTGGGGCTGGTGACTCAGGAATGCTGGAGGAGGTGCTGCTCAGGCTCCAAAGGCTCTGTGCTGCTAGGTGCTGTAGAACTCATCTCCTGCTGCAGGAGATGCTCTGGGACAGGCTCTGTCTGGACTTGCAGGGCAGGTACCAAATCTCAAGGTAACACTTGTCTTTTGTTTTCATCTACCAAAAAAAATGTGCTGGGTTTTGGGGGCATATTTTGTCCTGATCTGCATTTGTCCAGATTTTGCTTCAGTTTTTGATTTATTTATGACTTTTTGCAGAACAGTGAGAAAAAGACTCAATTTGGGGGAAAAGAGAGAAAGAACCATGCACTAGCAGACCAAAAACAGGTGCCTGACTTTGAAAATAGCTCTCTTTATGTCTCCAGACACTCAGGGTTGTGAATAGGAGGCAAAACTTCTTAATACCATCTGGTCTAGATTACTTTTTATTTCTGAATTAATCTATCTTATTCCTCAAGTTTCAGTGGTGGCTTTGTTTAGCTGATTTTGAAAGATGTGTCAATGCAACTCACTGCATCAATGGGAAGATAAATAACTAGGACTATATCCAGTGCCCTCTTTCTTGTAAATGGTCATGCCCATGGGCAGTGGAATGAGGGTAGAGTGTGTCAGTGAACACTGGAACACTATCATTAGGAATGATGGATTAAAAGAGAATAATCCTTGGGGTGGCTTTGGAGGGACTGTGTGTGGTGGGATTGAGGTGATGGCAATTAGGGATTAGCTACTGAATATATTAATATCTGCAGTGCTTATCTTTCTGTAATAAACACCTGCCACCAGTGTGGACAAAAATAGAGATTATTACACGTGGGACTGTGCTTGGTGGCAGATGCTGGAGGGTGATTTGGAAAGCTGAGGAAGGAGATCACCTTGGGTTGTCTTCACCACTGAATGCTCCTTGTTGTGAGCAGCATGAGATGCTGTGCAGCCTCACCTGCTCAGGATGGGGAATAAATGTGCCCAAATGTTCTGACAGAATGCATGGAAGTGTATTTACAGGGAGAAATCAGTAACAGGTCCCCTCTGATCTTGGGAGGATAGAGGAAGCTGGAGCAGGATGCTGCCAAGGTTGGGGCAGCTGTGCCCTGGTATTTGTGCCTGTGCTTCTCTCTCACAATCAAATACATTGCTGCACCCCTGGAAAAGACTGGTTTTGTAAGCCTGACTTGCTCCCTGAGCTGGCACTGGGCCAACTGCTCTGGATTTATGAACTTAGCTGGGTGATCTTGTTCGTACTGACAGATGAGATGTTTAGACAAACGATGGGGTTGAGGAATCTCTGCACATCTGGGCCAGCGGATGCTCAGCGCCTGTGGCAGCAGCACCAGCTTTGCTCTCCAGAGGGAGAAAATGAGCTTCAGCTGGTGACAGAAATGCTCTGTCTGCAGTGGCCCACGTGGCATGTGCCTGCCCATGGCCAGTGCTGATGGACGTGGCTCCAGCATGTCCTGTATCCAGAGCTGTGGGGGCCAAACACCAGCATGGCTGAACCAGCTCTGCAGCTCAATGCAGACACAAAAGGACCTTTTTCTCCCTTATTTTCTGCAAATTTCTAACTGCTTGCCAAGCTTGCACTGCAGATAAAAACTCAGTGCAGGAAGCATCCTGCAGAACTCTCTCTGGCAGTCAACAGACATCTATGGATACTTTTATTTTGTTCTTTGCTTTCTTTGGAGTGTTGTGCTGAAATGGCTACATGGAGGACTCTAAAGCTGGAAATTACCGGTGTCCAAGGTTTCTGTGTTCCAATATTCCATTGCTACGTGGGGTCAATGGCCTGTTAGCCCAGTGCCTTGCAACCAGATGCTTTGGGAATTGTGGAGCAGGAATATGTTATTCTATCACACTTAACCCCTCTCCTGGAGCCTGGGTCTCTACAGCCTGGATGTTTCTTGAACCAGAGATGGTGTCTGTCTATATAATATTCCTCAGGGCTCTTCACCTCTCATGTGCCCATCTGTAACAGGGGCTGTTTAAAATTAAACGTGTGATGGCTGGATTTGGTGGGATATGGTATGTTTGGCCTCAGAGCAAATACAAATTGTTATTTTACATTAAAACAGATAGGGCTGGGCTTGGAATATACTTATTTGGATGATGCTCACCAGTCTGAGGGACAAGAAAAAAATTCAGTTCCTGTTTTGCTCTGTGGGCTTTTATGAAAATCCCACTTTATGCTCTTGTGTACTTTATGCACATAATGAGCCACAGAACCGTGTCCCGTCTGTCTACCACAAAATCCTTTGCTCTCAGTGGAGTCTTTTTGGTGGTTTCTGTAGTATTTGGAGGACCTGGCCACGTGCAAGGGTTCTGTGTCCTCATTAATTTCAATTTCTCAGTATTTCAGTGCTGTTCTTCCCAAAACTAGCTGCATTTAACTGATTGTTGAGCTTAAAGCCCCTCTCTACATCTTGAAAAAAATTCTTGGTAAGGGTTAATTTTCTGGGGTTGATTTGTTTTTTCTATCTGACTTTACTTTTTCCCTCTCTTCTTGACATGATGGTTTTAAAACTTCCGTGCTGGGAGGCTGGGCAGGAGGTGGCCTTGCCAGTACACTATTCCCTCCAAAACTGAGGTTTGGGGTTATATTTATTGGTGTGCAAGGTTTAAAAGCTCTTTGGCAATTTGGAAAAGAGGTTTGTTCCCCAGAAACCTCCAAAAATCCTCATGGAGCCGTTGCTGTGTGTTCCCACAGTGCTTCTTGTGGTTTCACTCCACCCTCTTAATTTTCTTATGGATGTGTACAAGGATGGGTGGATGGGGGAAAGGGAGACGTACACGTTGTCCTGAAAAAGGAAATGTCTTTCTGCATCTCCCTAGATAGATGAGTGGAAAGGCTAAAACACAATAGCAATGACTACTGACACAGTCTAAATACATTGTTTTTGAATCATATAAATCTGGGAGATTTATCTGCAATTTGCAGGCTGGGAATACATCAGTATTCATTTGAGCCTCTGAAAACAAATATGATATTTGGTCTCAGGGAAATGCTGGGATATATCATCCCCTATGGGGTTTACTGGAATAATACTCTTTATTCTGCAGTAGGGAAATCCTTGCCCCAGCTGCTTTGAATGTCCTATTGTACAGTGAATCAGAGAAAAAATACTTGTTTCTCCCAGTCTGTGTCCTGTTACAAAGATCCAGTGTACCCAGAACCTTAAACCCCAGTTTTGGCTACCTAGGCTATTGCTTACCAATGTATCAACTAGTTACTAAAAAAAAAAATTGTTATATATTGCTACATCCTTTAAAACTCTCTTCTGTGCTTTCCCCTTAAACTGCTGCTCTTTCTTCTTCTGCCTCCCACTTTCTCTGGATATAGATGGTTTTTCCCCACCTCAATCATGGATTTCTGGCTAATGATCAGCTTGTCTTTAGCCGGCGAGTGCTCAAGGTAGACACCAAATCTGCTGCCACTGGTTTGCTGTGATTGTTTGAGCTGTTTTTGCTTTTTCTTTCTGGCTGACAGTGAACTGTTGCTATTTTAAATTGCCACGACCATGGCTGTATTTAGAGATGGGAGCATGTTTGTTGGGAGCATGTTTGACTGAAATCCCATTGGAATTTAGGGGACAGGCATTGTTAAAGTAGAGGGTCATAAAACTAATGTGTTGTAGCATTTGGTTCTTTGTGAGATTTGGGAATCAAGCGGCAAAGTCCTATAAATTTGATATAAACAGTGTTGGTATTGTAAAATAAAAAGCATTAACACTAGAGTAATCTAAATCCTTGAACTCTAAATGGGACATTGTAATTAGGAAAAATTCACTGGGAGACTCAACTTGACATAATTGGTTGCAGTGTTCAGCATTTGCAATTGGGTTTTTTTAGAAAAGGATGCAAGTGATTTAGGAGCCCAGATCCTGTTGAAAGGCCATGGGACTTTTGCTGCTAAGTCACTTAAGGACTTGTGAAAAATCCCACACTTGTCCTTGATTTGAGGGTGGACCGCATATTAAACACAGCCCTCTGACTGCCTCGGTGGTGACTCTCCCAGATGTTGCTAAAAGATTTACGAGGTGGCCTTTCCATGAGGCTTTCCCATTGTGCAGCCACATGGATGGGCTGGGCCATGGCCCCAGGGCTGGGCTGTACTGGCTGCTGGGGGGCCAGGAGCTGATTCCCAGCCTGGAGCCCCACGGGATGCTCCTCTTGGGAATGGCACCACCAAACCTACACAGCCAAAGGGACACAGCGTGTTCTCTGCATCCAAAACCTACAGGGTGTGAGCAGCTCAGGATGTCCACGTGTGACCTTGGCTGTCTGTAAAGGATGAGATTAAGCACTGCCACTTTTTTGTGTGGTTTTCTGGTGTGGTGCACTGAGCCATGGCAGTCTGTGCATGCTCCCTGCCAGCATGTTGTGAGACTGGGCTGTTCTGGGTGCTCTTGGGTTGGTAGATCCATGCAGACAGTCACTGGGAAGGGCTTAAGCAGATTAAATCTTGTTAGAAGGCGTTGAGCACAATCCTGGTTGAGAAAGCAGATCCAAATGGCATAAATTGGCCATGAGCTCACTTTCAGCTCTCCCAGCTGGAAGTTGCAGTTAAATTCCTCTGGGACAGCAGAGGCCAGGATGCTGGTGGCCCACCGATGCAGTGCATGTGTCGTGGACACCCTGACACTGCTTCATCTCACCATGTCTGTGTGAACTTCTTCCAGGGTGACCAAGGTCGAGATGGAGCCACAGGCCCCCCTGGTCCACCGGGACCCCCAGGTGCCCGGGGGCCTCCTGGTGACACAGGAAAGGATGGCCCAAGAGGACCTCCAGGCCCCCCTGTAAGGATGGGAGATGCGCAGCGAGCACAAATCAGGCAGTGCCCACCCCACGAGGGACAGGAGGGTGAAGGGTGTCCCCTTCCCCAATGCTGCCACCACAACCACTGAGTCCCCAGCCTGAGCCACAGCTGAGCTCCAAAGGCTGCTCATAGAGCAAAGCCTTGGGCTGTAGGGCAAGGGAGCAGGAGGGGACCTTCCATCTCAAGTTTCGCAGCTAAGAGCTGGACCTGGGGCTTGTATTTGCAGGTGCTGGTTGTAACTCTCACAGCCAGGAGATCTCTTTCCCAATTCATACCCTTTGGATGACCTGTTGCAAATCTGAAGACCACTGGCAATTTATTTAATAAAAAAATATGCTAGAGCATAACACAGTGGAACATTCTAATTATTGCTGAGCATTTTGGGGAATGAGAGGTAGTAGTTTCAATGTTGGTCTTTTTATTTTTTGCAGGGTTTCAAAGGCGAGCCAGGGGAGGATGGAGTCATGGTCAGTATTGCCTAGAAACATCTGTGTGTGTGCCCCTCACCCTCACTGTACATCACCCTTCAGCTCACTGCAGCAAGTGGGTTTGTGTCATTGCATATGGAGGACAAAAAACCTCTCATGGAATTATAGGTGCTCTCAAATGGGTTTGTCCAGGGCTACGTGTGTCCTGGGGAGAAAAGAGGCCAGTTTTTGTGTCCCCTTGGCTCTTCTGGAGGGATGTTATGCTCCCACATTTGACTCCTGCCCCTCTGAAGATACCTGGCTTTGTAACTCCAAACTGCTAAGGTTTATGTTGGATAAAAACATGCTTATTATAGATAAAATACATGAACCATAAAAGGGTATTATTTACTGGGAGCACAGAGAACAAATACAGCTCTATTTGTAAGGGAAAATGAGAAGTTGACATCTGTGTCATGTTTTTTCTTGGAATTAAAATACTCTTAGAAATGTTTTTATCCTGTTTTATTCTGTTGTCAAACAAGTAAACCAATCATTCTTATATTCAACAGGGTGCCAGAGGACCTCCAGGACCAAAGGTAGGTAATAATCTGTCTAATTTTAACATGAATTCTTGAAATAATGCAGCATAAGATGGTTGGGGATGAAAATAAGCATTTTGCAGTGCACTTGAACTTATCAGTATATATCAGATGATGCCTGGAAAGGCTGACCTGGAAGAGAGATTAGACAGAGCAAAAAACTGCAAGGCATTGACTGGGGATGTAAATGTCTGAATGTGTCACTTCCTCCATATCACATCAACTGCCCATGCTCAAACCTGGAAATGGGGGTGGAGGGAGCCACAGGGGACTGGAATCTGCTGTGCCATGAGAACGTGCATTTCTTGCGTTTGGGAGGGGTAAATATGATCAACACAAGCCAAGTATTTTAATTTTACAATTAATTTTTACAATTAATTTTGATTATCCACATAATTTGCCTTATTTTCTGTTACATCCCTAAATTTCTTTCTCTTCTGTTGATGTTGCTCTTGAAGGGTGAACCTGGTGTCCAAGGGAAAAAGGTAAAATGGTGATTTTTTTTTTATTACTAGTTTTATTTTTTTTCTTTGCTTTGCTCTGTGCTTGGCTAGGGAAACAGCTGCCAGAAACTGGTGTAGAAGCCATGGTTGTTGCTGTCCACACCAAGCCTTCCCTGTGTTCCCTCCCACGCCATCCTGGAGCTGGGCATGGCTGTGCCTGCAGCCTGGCTTTCATTTCCACAAGCATGCCAGAAGCTGCAACCACATCTGCCCAGTAGACAAAGAATAAAACAGCAAATGCCAAGCAAAGCAGTAGGTCTTGGGCCCTTTCTCTCCAGAAATTCAATGATCCAAGAGGTGCCTGGAGCATATTCTCTGCCCAGGGGCCCTGGGATGGGTTTGAAATTCCTGGGATGGCCATCACCATGCAGCACTGCAGTCCCATGGGGAATGTCCACTTGAGGGCCACGAATGCTGCTTGGGTGTGGCATTGAGGACTGGGAGAGATTCATATGTCCAAGTTCTCCACGTTTTCTCCTAGTGGTGCCGTTGAGAAGTGGAAAAATCACTGCCTGTAAGTGAAATCAAGCGCTGACAGGGCCCAACCTTTCCCTCTTACTGATTTGGCCCAAAACAGGGAGTGGCCATGGGTGTTTTTCAGGCCAGAATTTGGCTTAAACATTTCATAACTGGCTGGTAAAACTAATCTCTTCAGCACCCGTGAAGTAGTATTACTCCAGCAGAACAACAAAGCACAAGCAAAACCAGAAAACCTCCTCTGGAAGAGGGTGTTGGTGACTTGTGATGAAGTCCATGAGGATGGGTGGTAGATTACAGGAGGTTTTTGGGACCCAAAAGGCCTTAAGGAATTTAATATTTAGTTCCTGTTGAAGGGGGGAGAAGGCCTTTGCCAGGGCGTTTTGTAAGCAAATTCTGGAAGATGCCCACCCACCTTCTCAGGAGCAAGGGAGGCAGAGGCAGGGCTGGGTAGGAGCAGGGGACCACGCTGGAACGTCCTGTGCTCCTTGCTATGGCTCTCCCCTGGAGAAGCCTGCAAACCTGAGTGGTTTCAGATCTGTGCAACACTCAGTGAGGTCAAATGATATGTTGGAGCCTAGTAAGTGTGTACAAGGTCTGTGTATTTCACTTTTATATTTTATTCCATCAGGGTGATGATGGGATCCCTGGGGAGCCAGGACTTGTGGGCCCTAAGGTGAGTTCTGCTCTGTGTCCATCTAATGCATGTGTTGGGCAGCTTGTGCTGTCTGGGTTTTGGTACCATATCACAGTTGGGGTAGGATGAGAAACATTTCTCCTTTGGTGTGGAAAAATATAAGAAGCTGTGAGGGTGGAGAGACCCTGGCACAGGGTGCCCAGAGAAGCTGTGGCTGCCCCATCCTGGAAGTGTCCAAGGTCAGGCTGGAAAGAGCTTGGAGCAACCTGGGATAGTGGAAGGTGTCCTTGCCCATGGCAGGGGGTTGGTACTGAGTGATCTTCAAGACCCTTTCCAACAGAAAACATTGTGAATTTATTATTCTATGCTGTGGTTTTGTGGTTCATGGCTGAACACACCACCCACAGCCAAACTGCTGAATCTGAAAGCTTCATTTTTATCTCAAAAACTCCCCATTTGCCCCTGGGCAAGGTGATGTGTTTTACTGCTGAAAGCAGAACTCTGGTCCCTCGTGTATGTAAAATGAAGATAAATCAAGAAAATTATAACCTGAATAAATTTGTTCTCCATCCTCCCTGTATAGCATCTGTCTAAATGGCTTTGTTTTCAGGGAGAAAAAGGAAGCGTGGGTCTGAAGGGAGAGAACGGCACAGATGGCTTCCCAGGACTAAAGGTAAGGAAAAGCTGCATTGCTGAGGCAGAGGCTCCAAGCTGAGGAGGTGTTTTGGGCCTTTGCCTTCTAAAAGCCTCATAAAGTGCCAAAACTGACACAAAAGGAGTGATATTAAGAGTGTTTTAACTTTTCCTGGTGATTTGATGAAAGCTGGGTTCAAGCAGAGATCAGTGTAAGAGTTTGTAAGTCACCTACTTGCACGTTTTCCACTGAATAGCCTTTTTCCTCAAAAACGGTAGAATTGTGATCACATTTTGATCCCATGTTATTGATGGCTGTGGAATTGCTTCAGAGCCCCAAGCACATGTGAGCTGTCCTGTCCTCCTGACCTCCAAAGCTGCTGAGAGATACAATTGGACAGTCTGGGTTTGTTAAGTGGTGGTGAGGAGACCCAGACAGCATCCGTGGGCTGTTACTTGCCCCCTCAGCTGCTTTGTATTTAGTAGAATCTGGATACAGTAATATTTTCTATATGAAAGAGTCGTGATTCCTCATTGGGCAAGAAAGTGTGTGTGAGCAACAAAGTGGGCTCTGGTGAAGCTTAGTAAGCTTCTTCTAGAACCATAGAAGCAGTGCTGATTAAATTTAGGTTTTTTCTATATATTTTTACCATTTTTTACTTTTTGGAGAACTTTAATTTGGTCAGCAAGGGGATTAACATGAGTGTGACAAATGGGGCATCTTTTGAATCCTGAACAGAATTTCAGTTCATTGCTGTAAGAGTACTATGACTTTTTAAAACTCTCCAATTAAACAAAAACAACTATGAATAGGAGGGAAGGGGGGAAAATTATATAAAAAGAAAAAGGAGGAAGAAAAAAGGAACAATTTGGCACAGAACTTTTTCTTCAACTCACCCTTGAAAATGGTTTAAACATCTCAGCTGAAACTTTCCACATGCAAAACTCAGCCTGAAGCAAAGGGAGCCATGTGGAACCAGCACAAAAAGATGGAGCTCAGCACACTCAGAGCAGGGAGAGAAGCTGGAGAGCAGCACAGCCCATACAGGGAGCTCAACCCCAAGCTGGCCACTCCACTCCCCCTGCAATGACGCCTTCTCTTACTTCTCTTGCTGTTGCACTAACATTGTTTTTTGCAAAATATATTCACTCTCCGGTCAAATCTACTTTCTGCCAGGAGAAGCAGTCCCTTCTTGGTGTCCTAATTTTTCTTAATCTAAAGCATATCTTTATGGGTGGGTACAGTATTTTTAGATAAATATTTTATATTTTCCTTGGTCTCATTGAAAAAAAATGTGATTTTTGATTTTCAGGGTGAACCTGGTGAGAAGGGAGGAATTGGCTCCATTGGACCCCGGGTATGGATGTTCAGGATTTCAGTTTGGAGCTGTGTATTTGTCTCATCCTTAGCTGTTCCCCACCACGTCTTTCTGCATAGTATGTGGATTCAGGATCAGTTCAGTGTCAGAAAATAGAGATGGTCCATATTTAAACAAATGATTGCACAGATATTCAATGCTGACATGGGAAATCAGTCAAGTCCAATTTTCTTATCCTCATGACCATCCTGTGACCCTTTTTTTTTACAAGAGGGAAGATGGGAATAAGGGTCACCAAGTGAGGATTTTTATGCTCTTCTCCATTGCACAAATTGATGGCCTTTTGAGGTTTGACAGCTCCAGCTGTCAGACTAAGGACTGGTTAAATCCATGGTGTTCGTGTCAGGTCTTTGCTTTCACACCAGCCACCTCTCCATGCTGTAACATTAAACAGGATTCATCCCTGGCTGCAGGGTCCCCCTGGGCTGAAAGGGGAGCAGGGAGACACCGTTGTGATCGACTACGATGGCCGAATCCTGGATGCGCTCAAGGTAAGCCCTGCTCCGAGGCTGGGTCCTGCAGTTCCTGGGAAAGGACTGAATCCTGCCAAGCTCTGCCACGGTGACATTGTGACAATGTCTCCATCCTTGTCCTATGTCACCTCCTGAAATTTCTGTCTGGGCACAGAGCTGGTTGGGAGGGAAGAAAGAGCTGATTGCACCTGGGGGCTGAGGATATTTAGGAACAACACCCGAGCCTAAACCTGCCCAACTGAATAGTTCCATGACCTTTTCATCAGGATGAAATAAGATTAATAGAATAAATACTTAATTACAGACATATTTGAGAACCATCCTAATTGTTTTATAACAGGCTGCAGGGATACACAAAGTGCTGGTAATTTCCGTTTGCCAGATGTCCGCGTGGCACGCAGCTTTGGGAGTGGAGTTTGTGTAGTGCAGTGGTTGGAGAGGTTCCATCAAATGTCTGGAGGCTTCATCTGCTGGACCCAGACTCTGTCCATGTTCTGCATGCAGGGGCATGTCACGGAACCTCACTAACTTTGCTGTTTTCCTGCTTATTCACTGTTTACCGTGTTTGTGCACTGACCTGTCTCATGGACAAGGCTCTGGAAAGGCTTCCAGTGGGACTAAGTGTAACAGCATTTGGGTGTGCAGCCATGGGGAAAGGTGCTCCAGGATATGGTACTGGTTTGGTTTTCATCTGAGCAAGACCACAAATTTTGCTGCTTGAAATAATTTGCAAGCTGGAAAATATTTCATCATCTCAAGGTGGTTTGTGGTCTTTGCATCCAGCAGTGCCCAGGAAAAATAACTTCTTGAAGTGTGCAAGGTTTTTCTGCTGTTTTTGTTCACACAAACTCCTTTCTTTCCCTCTTTAATTGCACCTCCCTGTCTGGCTGACATTGTTTTCAGCAGGATGCTGCTTCCCAGGCTGGCTGGCTGGAGCAGGCAGGATGCAAAGAGATCATCAGATTTGAGGTCCCGCTTCCAGCTAAAGGCATTTTGGCTCTTAACACGTCTTTGTAGCTGTACACCTGACTCACTCCCATTGTGTTCTGTTTTGCATGAACAACCCCATGGCAGAGGAACCTCGGTCACTCTGTGTCAGCTGAGCTCATCTCAGCATTTGGGCAACTCTGCTCACCTGGGTGTCTCTGGCAGATCGTGGCTGGGAGCTGCTCGTGCCCACAGCATGAGGATAGAATACCATGTTCATGTCAGTCATGATCAAGCCTGGTTTTTTTTCTGTGTTTCAGGGTCCACCAGGTCCCCCAGGGCCACCGGGCCCCCAAGGCACTCCAGGTTCCAAGGTGAGCCTGACCTCTGCCAAGAAACATGGTCTGTTGGTTTGACTCAAAGAGTCTCCCAAGCCAAAATAAGGCAGTTGAAGCTGTCTGTGGAGGAGTTTGAGGCTGTGTGCACTATTTAGCCTTTTCTCTGGCTGAAAAAAGGTGGCTTTCACACAAAAGCCAAAATTTTGTTGACCTGTGTCTAGCCTTCAGCCTCTTCCAGAGGATGCTGTCCCAGAAACGAGTCCAGTCCCAGTTCCACACCTGACAGATGAAATTCCAGCTCCTCTGAGACTGCCTCGTTTGTCTGTGGCAGGAGGCAGAAGTGGGAGAAGCAGTTGTGAGAGGGGCTGGCAGTCCCATGGCTGTGCTGAGCCACCCTCATTCCCACCCTCCCTGTGTGCTGTTTACTGTCCCAGCATGTGTCCCAGGACCTGCTGCCCTCTTGCTTCACAAGAAATAGCCTGTAACCTGCAGCAAGCTGTTTCTTAAAAAGAAGAGTGTAATTTGTAGAAAAGTATCTCCTGAAAGAATGGTATGAGACAGGATTTCGGTGCCTTTTGAGGTTTCTGTGCCAATATTCAGATCAGCTTGTGATGCAGGTGGGTCACTGACACCTCCTTGCTCCTAAGCCTGGCAGTGGCAAACCCACAACCAGAACAGTTGTGTATGAATAACTCATTTCCTTGCACAATGCTTTCCCGAGATAAATTTTTAATTTACCGTGGGCTCCCCTTTCTTTGTCTCCCTTCAGGGAGAGCTGGGCTTGCCAGGTCCACCTGGAATGGACGGTGAAAAGGTGAGTGAGGCACGGCTGTGTTGAGCGAGGCCCTGCCAGGAGCCAAATGAAAAGAAAGGAAGTTTGCTGTGTGTCTGTGAAAAGCAAATGCAGCCTGCCAGGAGTGAGCTCTGCAGTGCAGTGGAGCATCAGGGAGCAGCTGTGTCTCCTGATGGCCCTTTGCCTGCAGCCCCTGCTCTGCTCTGGGCGTGCTGATGCTGCTCATGGCTGTGTCTGCCGAGCTAAAGGGGCTCCTTTCACAAGCAGTTCATCAGATGCTGTCTCAAAGCTTTTTGCAATCCCTCCTGCAGCCCAGCCAAATTCTGCTGCACCCTCAAAATTGGCATCTGTGAGGTTGAATGTTAAAATGTGTTCTCATGAGCTCACAATGTGGAGGAAAACAGCAGAAAGGCAGAAGTGGCTGTTGTGGGGGGTTATTTTAAGAGTTTTCTCCTAAACATGCTGTTTTCTCTCAACTTGCAGGGTCCCAAAGGAGCAAAGGGTGACCAGGGCAGCATGGGGATCATGGGGCAGAAAGGAGAGACAGGAGAAATGGGCTCAGCAGGTCCCCCGGTACGTCCCTTTGTCTGTCCCTGTCCCTCTGCTCTTGGTTCTTTAGTGCACCAATTTTTGCAAATGCTCAGAATGGGGCTGGGTTGACTGATTTAAGCAATGACCTCTCCACACCCCCTTACTGTGGAGCTGGTGGATGTGGGAGCTTTGAATTTCCGTTTCTATTCAGCTTATTCAGAATGTATCAAGGAGGAGAAAATATTTCTTCAAAGTCCCCTGGAGATGACCATGAGCTTTGCTTAAGCCAAGGCTGGTGTTTAGAGGGACACAAACCTATTTTTCTCTCATTTTTGCTTTCCTGGAAGATGCACCACATCAGTGTCACATTTTTATCTTTCAGGGAGCAGAAGGGCCGAAAGGAGACAAAGGAGAAAAAGGAGACACTGGGTCACCATGTCTACAGAATAATCATGTAAGATCTTGGCAACATAAAGTCTCTTTCATGACACAGGATCAGGCAAAGTTGGAGGGTGCAGGATAGACACACTAGTCTCATATCCATCAGCAAAACCCAACTGTTTTCTCAAGTGTCTAAATGAGGTTTACTCATTAGGGAAAAGCAGTTCACACACTTAGCGCTACAAAGTTACTGTAGATTTTTTATTGGTGGTTGAGATATTGGATGCTGCTGTTGTAATTAATTGGGCATTAAATTATGATTCTGGGCTTTGTGAGGTTTCCTCTCCTGAACCATCTTCTCTTGCCCAGCCTTGTTAACGTGCTGTTTCATTCCCTTCTGCAGATCATACCTGAGCCTGGACCCCCCGGATTACCTGGCCCTATGGTAGGACTCTGGAAGGGATTCCTGCAGATTTGTTATTGTATGTGATTAGATAAGGACAAGGGTGGTTTGTTCTGTTTAATCATTGTGGGCTGTTTTGAATTTGGGAAAAAGTCAGGGAAGTGCTACAATCTGATCTGTTTTTGCAGAAATTAAAGCACCTGATTTAGGAGAGTACATCAGAGTTTATGGATCATTTTGCAAAAATCCAAGTTGGTCCTTGGGAGAAAATATAAAATCTTGCGGAATGGAAAATCCATTCCCCACCATGACAGTGTGTATATTCCCTTAAATTCACCCAAGGCATTACATTTTCTGCCATCAGCTGCACTGGGAGAGCATGCAGATGATGATGGACACACAGAGCATTTTTAATGGAGATATCGAAGGAGTTTTGTGCCTACAGTGCTCCAAAAGGAGCTGTCAAGGACATTGGGAAGGCTGGGATGCCTTTGCTGGGTCCAAGATTCACCCTGAGAGATTTCAAAAGCAGGTGGCATTTCAGGTGGCATTCACAGCCTGGGAGGTATCTCAGCCCTGCCCAGGTGGGGAGGGCTGTAGTGGCACAGTGCCACCCCCAGAGCTTCCTGTCACTTTCTTCAGCAAAGCTTTTGGGGGCTCTCACTCCCCACTTGTGTTGCAGAGCTTTATTGTCCTGTGTTACACAAAATGCTCCTTTTCAATTCCCCTGCCCTCTGATTTGACATTGGAGAACAAAATAAACTGCCACCTGTCTTGAAAAGAAGTATTTGACCATTGTCAGCCTGTAATTTGAGCAAGAAATGGTTTAGGAAGGGAAGTTTAGGGTATGTTTTTAAATTCTGGGTTTTTTTCAAATGCACCACTGTCTTTCCCACAGGGTCCTCCAGGAATCCAAGGGCCTAAAGTAAGTCAATAAATTAAATGTCACCCGGTTCCCAGCTGCCAGTGCATTATTTTCTGGCTCACAAAGGCCTGTCAGCTCTGGAGACTGAGTTTTTTGTCACTGTTGTCACAACACATCCCTTGGTTACACTGTTCAGCAGTTGGCATTTTGGAAAACAAGCCATTTTTCCTTCCAAGCATTTGCAATCCAAAACCCTCCTCCAGCACAGAGTCCTGAGGGCTGGTGAGAGTCAGGGTTTCCAAACCAAAAGGCTTAAAACCTGTATTTTCAGCCATTTTCTTATATGATGTGGTCAAGAGCAAAACATCAACAGTAGTGTGGGTATAAGCACCCCGGAAAAAGGGTAGGAGGTGATGGGTGCATGAGGGGCTGCCCTGGGCAGAGCTGCCAGGTCTCCTTGGCTCATCCATTTCATTTCTGCAGGGTTTGGATGGTGCAAAGGGAGAAAAAGGTGACAGTGGTGAAAAGGGGGACCAAGGTGACACCGGACCTGCTGTGAGTTGTTTTCCCAAATTTCATCTCTGGCTGTTGAGAGAAACCTGTCTCACAGGAAACAATCCTAATGCTTTGTTTCTTTTTAATTTAAGGGTCTCCCGGGTGCTCCAGGGCTCATTGGTTTGCCTGGTACCAAAGGAGAAAAGGTAATCAGTAATCATGAGTGTGGGAGAAGAGCAGGGACATTGGGGTGCAATCCTAAAATGGGGGCTGTAAAATCCTGCTGTGGGGAATCTGCAGGGCTGGAACTGCAGAGCTGGACCAGCTCCTGGCAAAGGAGCAGCCTCCAATCCCAGTGGCTCCTGCATGAGTCCATGCTCCCACCACCGTGTTAAACCAACTGGATCTAAGTTTGTCTGCAACACCAAACTCAACACAGCACATCTTAATTTTTATTTTTACATCTGCAGGGAAAGCCAGGGGAGCCAGGATTGGATGTGAGTATGGAAACCATTAATTATTCATGGTAGAAACACAAGTAACACACACATAATTTGAGATTGTTAGGAAAATACATAGCTAACACTGTATAGACTGTTCCTTCTTAAACACAATGCCCATGGAATGATGGCTGTAGGAAAGGGCTGAATTCAGATCCATTGCTGGGCTACTTCCACTGCACAGTGGAACTGCTCACAAAAAGGTGCTGCCAGGGCTTCCCTTTCCAACTGAGAAGATTTGTATTGGATTCAGTGACATGAAAATTTCTAATAGCTGTAACGTTATTGGGGTGTGGTGAAGCACTCCAGTTTTTCCAAGAAATTGCTGACATATCAAGTCAACAGGAAGAAAATGTCATTCTTCACCATGTCAGGACAGGCTGATGGCTTATGTTGAACTGAGCCATTCACACACTAAACTTACAAAATCTTTTTTTTTTCCTTTTTCCCACCTAAAAATTGTGGTGACAGGGTTTCCCTGGTCTCAGAGGAGAGAAAGGAGAGAGAAGTGAAAGAGGGGAGAAGGTAAGTGGGTTATGGCTGTATTGATGCTCGTGGGGCAGGACAGGCTGCTCCTTTTGGCAGGCAGTACTGCTTGCCCTGGGAGCCACTGCTGAAAGGCCTTCTGTGCAGCCAAGGATTTGCACATTCCCAGCGCAGGGCAGGCACTTAATTTCCAACCACTTGGAAGGGTTTTTGCAAGCCTGCTCCCACCACAGCCCAACCATTGTGGGAAATGGAGCAGCCTGACAGCTCCAGGTTGCAAAGAATCGCTGGTTTTGGTTTATAGACCTCAAAAATGGATTCAAGTCAAAGGTTTTGTTATAGGGACCTTTAAACAAAAGGATACCCAGGTGAAGCCAGGAACCCAGCTCAACACAGGGCAATAGCTGGAAGTTGCTGCTCCCACTTGCTGTCAGATACCAACCTGAGTTCGAGCAGAAACTGCTCATTTAGTCAATCTGCTATAAAATTATCTATTACAATATTCCCACCCAGCTTAAACTGAAGATTTTCACAGTGATTTCACTACTCAGCTGAGGTCGTACTAGTGCAAGTGTCCTTACTCTGGGTGAGGACTGGACTCTGCAAGTGCTGTGAGACATGAAGCAAAGGTGTTTCTTCCCCTTGCTCCTGATATCTTCCTGTTGTGCTGACAGGGTGAACGAGGAATACCGGGGAGAAAAGGGGCCAAAGGACAGAAGGGGGAACCAGGCCCTCCCGGACTGGATCAGCCTTGTCCCGTGGTACGTCTTTCATTTCACTCATCCTAAGCACGGGCTGCCAGGGCTGACAAGGAGACACAGTTTTGCAGCCAGGGAAGAGCAGGGAGGATTTGGGAGTTCTCTCTTTCGCAGTAAATCAGAGCAGATGGTTATTGTTTTCTCACTTTTCATAATGGTTTATCTGCACTGCTGGAAGTTCACTGTTTGCTGTAAGGGCTCCTCACTGGCCAGATGGGAGGAAGCCACAGCAGTAAAAATAAAGCATCTTTGTGTAAAGACCTTCTTATTGTCGTCAGAAACAATGGACCTCAGTAGAGCTCTTCAGGAGAGTGTGAAGCTGCCGGCCTGGCCTCTGAGCATGTTTGAAATCAGGGAGTAACTGGGTGCAGGGGATGGGAGGTGATTTGAAAACAAGGCCAGCTCCATCCCTGCAAACTGAGTGAGACATGAGCCTGGGGAAGCATGCTGGGGTTGATAGCATCACAGTTCTGCCAAGAATAAGTGATACATGAGCTGGAGCTCCTCAAGCTGCCAAGAAGTGCCTCTGGGAGAAGAGACCTCCCCTGGTTTCTCTGCCTGTGGCTCAGAGCTGTCCCTTCCCAGACACATCCCGGGCCACCGCCGCAGTGCACATACCCCAATGGGCTTTCCAGGAAACTCCTAAGTGTTTGAGTCTGGGGAAGCCGGATCTCCCAAGTCCACTTCCAGAACCTCTCATTCATTAGATAAAGACCACAAAAAAAAGAACCCAAACAAACAAAAAAAAACCACCAATCCCCCCCACCAAAAACAAACAAAAAACAAACAAACACACACACAAAAAAACCTAGAGTTGTTTATAAGAAGTTATTTGACATGGTAACATTTACCTCCTTTTCACTACTGTTCTTCATACAATGACTAAAACTAGAGAGATCCTTTCCCTGAAATGCTTTGAATCTGGGGGATGAGAAGTATCAAATATTGAACTGAAACTGCTTAAATGTAACTGTTTAGAACTTAGTTCAGAGGCACCGAATTAAGAGTGCCAGCTGCTCGCTCCATGGCAATTCAAAAACTCAGTTCTTCTCTGAACATGTGACTTTTCCTTGCTCTCTGAGCACAGCTATGGCAGCCAAGGCTGTTGTGTAGTTCCACTACACCAGCAATAAGCTCCTTTAGTCAATAGGCTTTATTTTGCCTGGAGATTGAATGTAAACTGCAATTAATTTTTTCCTCTCTCGACATGTCAGGTGATTTACCCTTAATTTTCAACAAGCAGTTATTTTTCCAAGCAGGGAGATCCTAGCATTGCAGGCAGCAAAAGGGAACCAGGTTTGCCAGGACTGGATAGGGTGAGCCTGCTCTGCCCTTTGGTACAGGATCTGCTCTTTCTTGCATAGCTTGTGTGTGTTCCTGCTGTGGCCAAGCCTGTCCCAAGGAGCAAACCCCTCCAGGGAGAGGAAGGACACAAGGCAGCAGAGCTGGAACAAGATGTTTTACTCTGGTATTTGGGGAAGGATGCCAATGTGTTGTGTGTGCTTTTTTCTTCCCAGTTAAAATGACTTTAGATAAGGAGTGCAATTCATGGGAGATCATGCAGGAGATGCCAGTCCCTTTATGGTGACAGATGCTCAAAATTAGTTGTGGTTTCTCTCAGTACCTATGGCCCAGTTTGGTTCCCCTCGTGGCTGTGCTGCTGCAGCCCTGTGAGTCCCATTCCCAGCTGGGATTTGAAAAGCTTTCCTCAAATGAACGGCCAGTCCTGCAGAGCAGGGCCATGGCACTCTGGCCATCAGAAGGGTTTTGCTGTGTCAGCACAGAGCTCTGCCCAGAGCTCAGGTTGAGTCCAGTGGTTTTTGTAAGAAGGTTTGTGCTCTGCTCCCCAAAAGGCTCTGCACCACTAGCTAAGAGAGGTCATTGTTTTATTTTCTTTTTTTTAACCATAGAAAATGTTGCGTGTTAGATGATTTGCAGTTGTCCTCAGAGAAACAAAAGGGCAGTAAGCTGTTTTTCTTTCAAAAAATTAAATTACTTTCAGATGTGTCCAAGAAACCAATTCCTAACAGCAGGCCTGCTCTAACTTCATATTTACTCCCCAGAGGTGTTCTATTTCCCAAGCACGTCCCATCTTAACTATACAGAAAACACAGGACCCATCTCTGCTGAAGGCATTGTAAACTGCAGTAGGTGATTCCTCCAATTAACTACAACATGATCAGTCAGTGAAGCACTTGTGCATCTTCTGGTTACTTGCAGACTGGTTGAAATGTTGACTTTGTGCTGCAGCCCAGGGTGCAGTGGAGGCTTGCAGGGTTTCAGTCTAGGAGCATCAGCGTGAGCCCCACACACAGCCACGAAGAGACATTTTGGAGTCACTCAAGTAAAACATGGTGGAAAGGTGTGGAGTTTTATGATGGCCAAAATAAGTATTCTGAGTGCACGAGAAATAGTCCAGGGCAGAAATCAACCCCTAACCATCACTGTTAGGGTGTAGTTTAACAGCAGGTCAGGATGTTTTAGGTCAAACAACCACTCTGCATCTTGTCCCCCATACCCATCATCCCCAGACAACTCTGGCAAATGTACACGTTTTACCTTTTTTTTTTTAATAGTTATGGACCAAAATACTGATTGTGTCTGCAGAAAACAATGTGTGTTTTTTAAACTAAGGTTACAGGAAAGCATGACTTCTTACACTATGAGTAGCTGGAGAGGCTTACCTTACTTCACTGCATCTGTTTTATTGGGCATAGGCTATTTTACATATAAAATCAATACAGAATACAAAAAATGTGATGACTAACATTTACAGTAAAAAATGTAAAATTGTATTTTGACCTGTATTTGCACTAGCAGTTCTCTCTGCTGCGTCCACATCTTCCCACCCCTAGTGAGTCTGCAGGTGGCTCTGAGGGAAGGGTCAGTGCCCGTGTGCTCTCTGTGGCTCTGCATGCAGAAATTCATGTAATCGGAGATCCAAGAGCCTTAAAAAAATCCAGCATCAGGAGAGGCAGCTGAAGTAATTTCTTCTGAAGTGTCTAGAGAGAGCTGGTTAAACATAGCTCATTCCTCTTCCAAGGGGCTCCTTCCTTTCCAGTGTTCTCCTCCTGGTCACTGAGAGCTCTTCTGGCTTTCTGATTTTTGTATGTTTCTTGTATCTCCAGTGGAACAAGACAAATATTTTCACTCCCTTTGCATAGTCCACAACTCATCCTATTCTCAGTTCAGCAACTCAAGATTTCTTAAAGAAACTAAGTACTGCAGGATCAAATTTAACACAATTAAGATACCATCTACAAAAAAAATACGTATATCACCTCCCCCGAACAGAAAAGCACATTTTAACAAAAAACACATTCCCACATCATGCTTTCCATATATATGTCTGACTGCAAAAAACACTACCTTATAAAGCAGATTATGAAGTTAATGAACTGTGATTTCAAATCTTTGTATTTGTACACATTTTCTTTGTTTAAAGGAAAAAAAGTGTAGATTCCAATTTTGTATTTTTTACCCTGAGGTGTATTTAATTTTGTGTTGTGCGTGACACGTGGATTACATTGTCTGCATATTCATTTTTGTGCATATACAGTAAATGGGTTTTGCATGGTAATTAACAGTGCTGCTAAGCCTTTCATTGTTGTGACAAATGAGCTTCAGGTTTTTGGGTCTGACACCTAAGTCACTGTCAGGAAAGCTGAATTTGTAAATTCAATTTTGCAGGGACCAGACGGACTGCCAGTAGCAGGATGTTGGCATAAGGTACAGTAACATTAATAATTGTATATCCTTGAACAGGTCCTGAGTAATTTTGCTCCCTGCACAGTGATTGTTGGCAGTGCTGCACATGCTTTAAGTAACAGCTCACAGGCCTTGCAGATATGACATTCTGCCCTGGGAGAGCAGGATTCCAGCAGCTTCAGGTCTTGTTCCCCCCAGCTCTAGACTGGTACTGGGAACACCAAAAATTTGCTAAGCATGAAAAATCATTGTTAACGCTGCCAGTAGAATGCCTTTTTACAGGCTTGCTTGGGCTTTTATTATGGCCAAAGAAGCTTAGGAACCACCCATGGAAAGGCTGTACCATGTGCTCGTGTGACTTACTCAGTCCATACCCTCCCAGCTAAATTAACAGTGGGTTGTCTGTTGCAGAGTTCCAAACATTTCTTTTCTAACAAAGACTCTTCTGCCATTGTAATTATAACTCACAACCACTGCACTGCTTCAGAGCTGAGATCAGCACCCTGGCTACAGGTGATCAGGTAGTTTGTAGCATCTCAAGCACCCAGAGCAGCCAGGGGTTGGAAGTGCTACTGGCAGCCTGGCAGAATGAGATGTGTCCTCCTGTAAGATAAGGATTTGATCCAGACTTGTAGGACAATCCTCATTCTCCAACAAGTGTATGACACTGAAGCTGAGTGGAATTGCAAACCCAGCTGTAAACATGTGGTATGTGGACACAGCTAGAGTTAACAGCATGTCACTAACGGGTTGCAAACCCTCAGAATGTGAGCATACCCTTGCTATATCAAAGGCTTTAATTCTGTGTAATTTTTTTGGATGTACCACTAATATTAAAAGAAATCTGAATGCCAATCCTTATAGTATTAACAGTAAGATTTGTAAGTGTAATGAATGGAGCATTTTTCTGAATAAAATGTTTGTGTGTTCTTTTTCAGTGATCTCTAAGCATGAAGCACAATATGTAAATAATGTGATATATTTTGATCTTTTTAATTTTTGTATAAAAAAAGGAAAAAAAAAAACTTTTGACAGTAATATATTGACCTTTTTTTATACTGGATTCTGACATTTATGGACTTGGAAAATAATTTAAAGCTCCCAAACCCATACCACTGCATGGTAACACCAGGATTTGCTAAAGGTACCGACGACAGTAGCTGGGGATGGACAGTGTTCCCTGCTCATGCTGCAGTGTGAACTAACAGTACTGAGCCAGCCTCGTGTGCCTTACTGCATGGAGGGCAAAATCCCTGTCCTGATTTGGCTCTTAACTTCATATTTGCATTGTATATGCACATTAAAAGGGTGAAAAAAACTGGCTGAAAATAAAGAAAAAAAAGATGCAGCCCTAAAAATGAAAGAAGCTGCTGTCTGTTGTCTGGTCAAACAGAAGGATTTGCAGCCTGCACAGGAAACAAAGCCAAGCTCCATCCATCTCTACCTGCTGTGGGTGTGATGGAAACAGCACCTCTGGGGCTAAACAGAACAACCTTGACTGCCTGTGGTTATTTCCTCTACAATCAAGAGAAACTTTTTTCCTCAAGAGGAAGCACCTCTGGGTCCTGTTCTGGGGTCTGTGCCTGAAGATGTGCGAGCACTTTGTTACTTTGGAACACAAATTCCTGAGGAAGCCTCTGCTGCAGAATTTCAAAACAGAAAAACCTGTTTTGGCAATATGTTCAGTGCAGGGAGTTGCAGGACAGGGAAGGCTCTGCTTAAGCCCCTTCTTAAACAACAGAGCACATAATGATGCTCTTGGGGCTCCCAGAAACTGGGAGTTTGGAGTATTTAATTGTCTTGGTTTGTGGGGTTCGTTTGCTTTTTATTTCTTCTTGGTTTACATAGTTTTAACTGTAAACTAACTCTGCACTCTCCTCTTGTCTTATTTCTCTTCACCTTTGCAGTCTCTTTTGTTAAATTATCTCTTCTCATGCACATCCCATGCAGAGCAGGGTAATGAATAACATCTTTATTATTTTGATATCTGCATATTCCACTGTGGAATCAATTAAAATTGCAAACTATTCCACAGTTCAACATTTTTTAAGATGTTGAAAAAAACAGCAACTGTGCAGCAGAGAGCCATAAAAAAAATTTTCAAAGAGGAAGAAGATGGCTTACGGCCGAGTCTGTTCAGCTTACAATGAAGATCAAGAAGCAACCAGATTCCTTTACAGGGAGGAGATACTTTCTATTAACAAGTTTTTAAATTGAATAGAGAAAGATACAAATACTCATCCAATGGGTAGAAGTTGAAGCCACACAAACTCAAAAAAGTAAGCTGTGGATTTTTATTTGTAAAACTGGTTAATCCTAACCAGATCAGTGATATAATTGCCATCACCTTTATGCCCTTTTGATTTAACAGATCATGTCTGGAGGAAATACTTTGCTCAAACCAAGTTGCTGGGTTCTGCATAGAAGTTTTAGGTGAAATTAGGAGCCTGAAGCATGGTATTATGGTTCTTTGTGGCCTTGATCTTAGAGAATACAGAAGGGAAGCAGTTTTGGTGCACTGAGTAGATCCAAAACTTCTGTTAAGATTCTTGCTTCATTGCTACTCTTACTGCAGCTACTGCCAGAGAGGGCTTGAGAGAGGGATGTGACAGTCCAGGTGCAACCTGTCCTGTACAAGCTGACCTAGTGTGGGAGGCCCTGCTCCAATATTCTGAAGAACAGTGGGAATGTGCTTTGTGCTCCACACAGGCAGGGTGATGTCTGGTGTCTGTGAGTTCTCATCTGTGACCAGGCTCTGTGCTCTGCACTGTTCACTGCTGAAATGACCAAGCCCAGGAGGGGTGACACAGCCTCAGGGCTGTCAGCAGTGGATTTGTTACCTGTTGTTGGCTGCTCAAGGGCTACACCTACACATCACTGGCTTTGTGGCTGTACGTGGCATCTATACCAGTTACTCACCATTTCCTTGGTCACCATACAGATTAAGTCCATGTTAAATTCAGATCAACTAACAAATCAAGAAACAACAATTATGTAACTCAAAACAGCAATGAAAATGCATTTTATTTACTTCCATTTCATGTTCTCAGCTATCACTTTTGGTGTAGGGGTTTTTAAAGGCATAAGGAGCAGCTAACAAGCTTCCACTGGCCTTTAGTGCTTTTGAAAAACCCCTTTAATATCCCAAATTAAAGCTAAAAAATCTTCTGTGAAAGGTTGAAGGCAAATCTCTCATTGATGTCACCAGGAAGATCTGTAATTGTTCCCTTAATGTACAGCTGCTCTTCCCATCTCCCCCAGTCATCTCCAAACTAAAAGCAGTTCACTATTCCAAACCATGCTGTGGGCTTCTACACTCAAATTCCCGCACATGTTGTGTTCATGGAACTTCTTTCAATATCAATGAGAGTTCAGTCTCCAGAATGACTGCAGAAAGCACAAGAATCTGGAAGTGTCCACAAACAATCTACAATGCAGATAGAAAAGTCTTGTTTTACATACGCTGGCAAAAACTAAACAGCTTTCTATCTAGCTCCTACTTAAAGAAGTTTGATATCACTGAAGCTACAAGACAAGCTAACCTCCAAAGCTTATGAAATTATATTAAAATTTATATTTTCTCTGAGGAAATACCCCGAAGTCCTATTATCTTCAGGTAAACAAGTCAGTATTCCGTCTTCAACTTGTGGAATATCCAGTGCTTGTAGGCATCAACTGTGACCACTGCCAGGCCTGCAAAACATTGATACAGAATACCAGAATAGTGCTTTACTGCTCTGCAAGGCCGCCATCCCCCTCCCAGCACAGAGCCTCTGCTGCCACAGCACCCAAGACATTTGTTTGTAATGGAGGAAGGCTGGAATTACCACTGAAGCACAGGAGTACAGCTGTATCCACATTCACAGTGCTACAGCTCAGCTACCAAACCTTTTTGTGATCCTCTCTGGAAATTCCCAGGCAAAGGCCCTTGGTTCTGCATGTACAAAATCATCTATGCACGTGCAGCCAGTCAGGAATGTTCAGGACATTGGCCTCACTGCTCACATGCAGTGGCTTTTCTGGACTCCTGCTGCTGCCACTCCCACGCTGGCAGGTATGGATCCTGCTGCACACTGTCACTACTTTGGCTGTGAGGAACTAACCAGTAGGTCTCCAAGGCCTGGGGGTGGTACATCCACTCTACCAACCCCTCGTCATCAAAGGAGCAGAGACCTGTGGAGAGCAGAGGTCCAAGGAGCAGAGCAGGGCATGGATTCCCCAGCAGGGCTGTCACTGGCACCTGAAGTCCTGCCTGGTCCTCAGCTGAGATTGGTGCATATGGCCTTTAGATTCTGAACAGTGTACCTGGTTCCCTGCCATGGCACACAGTTGGACCTAGATAAGGACTGTTCCAAGCCCAGCCATTCTGTGATTATCAATCATATTATTCAGATCAACAGACTTTGTTAGAGAAACTGTTGGGTTTTGTACTGATTACAAAGTCTGTTTAGACTTCTATGTGCCTAACATACAAACATATTTAGAAGAGTAGTTGTTTAATACAGAGCAATCATGATCTTACTTCAGTGAGTTAAAAATATATGCTTTGCTCTGCAAATTCATGCCAGATCAATTGATTATTTTCTCCTTCCATATGAAAATGTTTATGTGGGTCTTTCTGAATACTTTGACTTTGCAAATAGCTCACAAAGACGAATTTTACTTCTAGGTAGTACTGGCAGTCTTGCTCAAAACTCAGTCATGATCTCAGCCTTTCACAAAGCTTAGGGCGCTTTTCTCCCAGGAAATCTCTCTTACGTTTTCTGCTCTGGTTTCAAAGAATCTGAGACTGCTTTACAGCAATTCCAAAAAGCAGCTGAATGTTACCACTATATGTCAGTAGCATTGAAGATGATTGACAGAGAGGCTGCTAATGCTTATGAAATGTGGGGCAGTCTGTGACTGAGCCACTGATTTTTCTTGATCACTATAATATTTGGTGTAACTTCATGGATTCATCAATAGGCATTGTGGGTAACACTGAAGTTACTGATATTGGGGGAACCTGAAACTCAGACAAATATATTTTCTTTTTTAGCTGACAAATCAAAATTCCTTCCTCTAATTTAACTCCTGTGAAAGCACGGTGCTTTCCATGAGGTTAAACCAACCATGCTTGCTGCTGCCCAGGAGCAGAGGACACACAGCTTGCTCTAAGGTTTGTTCCATTTCAAACTGTAGCTAATGACCATCTTTTTCCAGTCACCACCACCATCCTCTCAACACACTGTAGCCCAATCGGCTTTGGAAGCAAAGTTCCCAAACTGAATCATAATGGCACAAGAATTCACTTGATAACCCTAAAAGGTTTTTCAGCCACAAAGCTCTGCAGGCAGGGCTGCCTTGCCATGAGGCACAGCAAGTGCATTCCATGACTGAGGCTGCAGCTGCTGCTGGCTGTGGTTGCTTCAGTGCTTGTGCCCCAGGAGTGGTGATGCTGCACCCAGCTGTGAGTATGGAGAGCACTCCCTAAAGCTTCTGGGGAGGACGGATTTAGGGAAGAGAAAAAGGCAAAAAAATCCCATGTGTGTAACTCCACATTTGACAGCTTGAGAGGAACCTAGCCAGAACATGAGCCTGATAATTTGGCCTGTTGTGATGGGGACAAATGAGATTAATTAAGAGTTTTGCAGCTCAGTCACAGCTTGGCCAGTGAGTTCAGGAATATTTCTTTGGATTACAAAACAGGTGGCAGAGAAATCCTAATCTGATGCCAAACTGAAACTGTTCCCAATTCATCAATATTTTAGCTTAAAAACACCATAATCAAGATATTGCCACATGCTTTCTTTTATTCCCATGGGGAGTCGCCTCTCCTGTATGCACTGTTTCTGACACTTCCTGTATATATAATGGTGATGAATTTATTTCTGTATGGATTTTTCTCCTGTGTATTTAAAAATAAGAATGTTTATTTTAATGGCAAACGACTTTCTGATGTGTTTTCTTTTTAGGAGACTGATAGATAAAATATTTAAATGAGCTTTTGTCTTCTGTAATTTCATAAATTCAGCATTTGAAATCCTTAAGCAAACCAGCAAAACGTGGGAGGTTTCAGCAGTTTAAGACAACGCATGCAATGATGCAAAGTAATCCATGGAAAATGACACCTGTGGTTTTAAGACTGTTATAGTAACCACTACCCTCGGTAAAGATTTGGTTTTGCACCCAGCCAAATATAGCAGGTCTCGGGCAAGAATGCAAGAACTCACATGTTGTAATGCACAGTTTATTAAAATAAGCAAGAAACATTAATTAAACTATGAAGATTGCAGAAAGTTTCCAGCTTTGTCATAATGGTAAATAACTCCCTGGCCTGTCAATGTAATATGTGCGTTATGAATGTGTTCCCTGGACAGTGAATGCTGGTTCAATGCTGCCCTCTATAGGAGACTGTTTTTTTAATAGAAGCAAATTTGATGCTGTGACAGTGTCTCTCTAATTTACAGCACACATGACTTTTGTGTAACTAATGTTTGAATAGATATTTGTAAAACCAGGAGTGCATGGACAGAAACTTTAAATTTTTTCCAAATCTGGTATTTCTTTCTTAGGAAATACCATTATATTCTCACGTTTTTTCAGTCTCACTCTTGCCCAGATAATTTACAGTGTTACTCAAATAAAATCTACCTATAGTAGGTGTCCTGATACATTTTTATTTTTAAAATTTTGAGCATTGAACCTCTGAATAATATTTCCTTTGTAGGCAACAGATTTCTCTCTAAGATATGCAAAATATTAGTAACTACAAATGATTAAGATATAAAAATTTAAATGTCCCCAAACCACTCATCCTCGACAACTAGAGCAGGTATGTGACTGAATTCAGATCAGTGGGTTTGGTTCCAATGTGATCTAGCAGAGGAAAGAGTGCCCTCAGCAGTGTCTAGGGATGGAGAGAACCTCAGTATTGCTTTGTTTAATTTGAAACTCCTGGTTTTTACCTGTTCAGGACAGGCTGACATCCTGAGCAACACAGCCAGCCTTGCAGAGGTTTAACCAGAAGATTTTCAAGTGAGAAGTTAGATATATGGATAATTTCAAAAGGCCTGTGACACTCTAACTTGCCAAGGCAGTCACCGTGGCACACACTGAATCTGGCAACTTTACAGGACAGTGTTATGTAAGCATATTTCTTGACTCTTTTGCAATAGTGTTTTGTTTTTTTTTTAACAAAAAGGAGGGGGCAGAGAGAAACATCTGGTCACTCTAGTTAGTCCAGTCTCAGTGTCATTTACTGGAGTCACCTGCCTTTTAACTCTGTCCCTGGCACTGCACTGGTCGTGGCCATAATTAGTTCAGTTAGAAATACTCCAGAGCTCCACTTGGGGGAATCTGTTGCAGACTGAAGCAAACCAGTGAGTAAAAAATTCCATTTCCTAAACTTTATTCTTCCTGGTGATCATTTATATTTGTAAGCTAAAAATTACTTTTAGTACTTTCACGTCCCCAGGTGAACTACTGCAACTTTGCCATGTGCTTGTGTCCCATTAGATGGCACAACACAAGGGATGTGTGACTGTTGTGTACCCCACAGCTAATGTAAATGCTGAAAATCTGTCACTTAGATATGAATGGAGGAAGGACTTAATAGATTATATTATTGTAGAGTATTATAGAGAGCCTGGGGGAAACCACAGGAAGGCTGGGACAAATGAGTTTTCCATGCATAAGAAGTTGAATTATTGACAAGAGAGTTGAATAAGAAATTCATTAGTAACTTTTGTGGTTTTCCTATGTCTTAGGACAAATAATTCCTGTTTTGTTAAGTTCCACTAGAAGTTGCCTTAAGTGTGGTTTCATGGGTCAGCTCACTTCTGTGTCAGCTCACTTGTGTGGTTTCTTACGTAACTTAGATATTAATGAACAAAAACTTTAAAACAGAGGTGACCCGAGCATCTGTAAATGACACTGATCCCTATCTGCTGCTTTTTATCATACTGTTAAAAACTGTATTTGAAAAGTTCATTTTAGAGGAATTTATTAAGTGTAGGTGAGTGCTTATCAAACTTGTATTTCTGCAATTACATTAAAAAATTAGAATCTAGTTTTGCAAAGCAAAGGCACCCATGATACTCACTCACTAAATTTGTGTGTTTAGCAGGAAAGGTCATAAGCTGCCATCAGTGCAAATGAGAGCTGAAGCCTGTTGTGTTTGCTGGTTTGTTTCATAGAGTGCAGTTTTATAAACAATTTTGTAACAGCTTTTTGTGTTTCAATTTGGGGTTCTTTTTCCTGCTATCTTAAAAACAATCAAAAATACTGAATATGAAGAAAGTTCAGCACAAATACCACAGTCAAAACTGACAGCCCCTTGCTTTGTTGCATTTCATTACTTTGGACATAGAAATGATACAAAACTGGTGTGTATATTAGCATTTGATAAACTGTACCTGCTGGTATCTCAAATCTGTATACAGTTTAGAAAAATGCATGCAACATGTGCCTTATCTGTCCATATTTGTTTTGAAATTATGCCAATAGAGCTTGATACTCTACGATGTTATGCAAGTGTCCCTTATTTATGTGCAGTTGCATCACTCCAGGGAGGCTGTTCAGAGGAGAAAGGGCTGTTTGTGTGCTTGCAGCTTGCCAAAAATGAGTTTTGAATGTATTTACATGGTCTTTTATACAAAGCTGGCTAAATCTCTGTGTATCACCTTTGAAAAGAAATATATGGACATTAAAATTACAGAAAATGTACTTAACATCTCCATTTGCAAACTTTTTGTGATTTTTGATCATGTATGTGCCACAAAGTGTTCTATTTACTCTTCTTTGGGGTGCAACTACTTTAAAAATGAAGGCACTAATAACAGTATTTCTTATCCATTTTTAAACATGTTAAAATGGTATTAATTAGTACTGCATCATATATTTCTAGTTTAAGTTGTAATGGACAATACATACCTTGAGACCTAAAAAACCTTTTTTTCTTGTGCTTTTTTTAATAAAAGCAAAAACTAGATTTAAAAAATGGTCTCTCTGTACAGATTACTTTTACAATTGTGTGAATATGTATAATGAACTCTGCATTTGTAACCAAGAGTAAACTTTCCAAATTGTAAATGTTCAGGTTGTTATTATAAATAGCTAGTAAATATCTTAACCAGACAAGAGTTCAAATAAAGATTAACAGCCATTATTAACTTTTTCTCTACTGTCTTTTATTCCTTAAAACCTGACCTTTATGAAACAATGGAGTTAGACTAAGTTCAATCTAACTTTAAGTACATAGCAATTTGGTTTTGCATTCTCCATATTACACAAAATTTAAACTGCTCCTGTGTCTATCAACTAGAAATTGCAACTAGAGATAATTATTGGTGGTTGTATCTAGTGACTAAAGTCTGTCAAGTGTAGTTTTTAAATTATCTGTTCTGTTTTTCTAGAGTTTTAAGAGCTCTTCATCAGTTTAAACCAAAAGAATGTGAATGTGTATTTGGAAGGGGGAAAAAAAGCGTCGTTTTCCAGAATCAAGTTGGACAAGTTTATGAACTTGATTATGGAATACAACACCTGCCAAGTAGCAGAACTCAATCCATTGCAGAACCTCCTTTCTGGTTCTTTATCTTCCTATTTTTCTTTAGACAATTCCAGTTAAATAGGAATGGAAGAAAGATCACTCTAATCTGATTGACACCATTTCCTGTTTTAATCCTGCCTATTTAGCTTTAGGATTGGCTCTGAAGGAGTCAGTCAGGTGTCTACGTATCTGCCACCAACTAAATACAGAAGTAAAACATATAAAAGGTTGGGTTTACTTCTGCTTAAACAACCAAATACATGAAAGAATTATTTCAGTTCTACCACGTTGGCTACCTGCTCAAATTGTTTTCAATTGTAAAAGAAACTTCCTCAATGTGTATTTCAAACGAAGAGTGCTATAGCTATACTAGTGATCCTGAAGAGCCCGTTCCTCCCTGCGACGAGTGGGGTGTGCGGCTGGATGCGCCCGAGCAGTGTAAACCCCTGGGGTGTGCGGTTTGAGGGGGAGCTGCCAGCTGGGCTGCAGGGGCCGCAGCCCGTCCCCATGTGTCCCAGCGCTGCCTGTGAGGGAAGCGCCGCCCCGCCGGCTCCCGTGGTGAGCTCAGGCTCCGCTCCCTGCGCCACGCTCGGCCGGGCCGTGCCCGAGTCCCTGCGCTGCCGCCCCTCCCCGCCCCTCGCCTTGCGGCCCGGCCCCGCGGGAGGCGGCCGCTCCCTCCCTTCCTCTTTCTCTCCCTCCCGCCCTCCATTTCCTCCTCGCTCCGCTGCTGGCTCGCTCGGGCCCCGCGGGCGGCTCCGCAGCCATGCGGTCGGCACAGCCGCGCTCCCGGCAGCAGACCCTGGCGCTGCGGCGGCAGCTCGTCGGGTGAGTGCTGCGGGACCGGGACCGGGACCGGGGTCGGGCGGGCGCTGCCGCCTGACGTGGCCGGGAGCGGGGCTGAGCCCGCGGGCCCCGCCCGGCGGCAGCGCCATCGCGCCCGGGCTGAAACGAGCGCCGCGCCTGCACAGCCCGGTGCGCTCTGTAATTAACAGGAATTAGCCTTTCTTAAGGAGGGGGATTACGAAACTGCAGTATAAAATCCGAATGATACCGAGCGCGCCTGTTGAGAATCTAAACTGCTTAGAAAGCGTTTTCTGTGAGCCCGCCGAAGGCACGGCTGGGGCTGGAGGCCGTGCCGAGCCAGGCGAGGTTCTGGCTCACCTACTATTATAGCCCGTCTTTCCGGAAACTAATTATTCCAAAATCGTGATGGAATTAAAAACGTCTGTTCTCTTTGACAGAATGAGCGACAAGACTCAGTTCTAAATTTCCCATTACCGGTGGAGTTTCAACCAACTTTAAAAAAGTCTTAATTCTGTAGACTATCACCAAGAATGGCAACACAACTCTTCCCATAACTGTGGGAATATTTTCGTATCATATATTTTCAAGTCCAAGGCTACTTTTATGTGTTGTATAAATACAAAACATGGGCTGAAAATAATTGCTGAAATTAGGGTTATGCCAGTTACACGCACCTGAAAAATACTACATTGGGTATTAAATCTTTTTCTAACTGATTTGCCCTGCCACTGGCAGCGAAGACCCAGCCTCTGCAAGCGTGTTCTTAGCATGTTTTGAACAGTTAGGAGAAGCTTACAAAAACCCCCAACTGTTTTGCCAGCTCACACAGAAACTATCAAGATTCCTGTTTGGGAGGGACAATTAAGCACTTTCTTACTTCACCATTCTCCTTTGTCATGCATTTGACAATGGCTTGTATTTATCATCAAATTATTTCTGTATAAGCTATCTTTTACTAAATGAAGTATGGAAATTTGGAATTGCCCTTCAGAGTCAAATGTCTTCAACTCCTACTTAAGCAGATGTGTTTTCATTTTACCGGTTTGGCAATTCATTTAAGAAGTGAAACAAAAGAAATGCACTTAAATAAACCCAGCCTTATAAAATCACTTGGTGTTCTAGCTATGGTTAGTGAAGCTATAACAAATTTCACCTTCCAGCAAACTACCTGGAAAATCAGGATGTTGGCAAGAATAGCAAGAACATAATAAGAATAATAAAAAGAACATAGCACAATGTAAGAGACACAAAAGAACAAAAAGACAGCACAGACGGTAAGGAATTGCAGTTAAGACAAGATGAAACTATAGAGGCTAGTCCTACTGCTGTGGCTAGATCCTAGAGTAGGATTTTCAGGTTTGGAGTGTGTTTTTTTTCCTGTAAATCTGAGTGCAATGCCTTTGGTTTAGGGGCCAAAAGCAGGATGACTGTGCCAGCAACCAGAAAAAATGTCTTTAGGAGGATAAACTAAACTCACTAAGATTTATTTTGCTTTCTGATGCTTGTCATAGCTCTTCTTGCAAGCTGTTTTTTTCTAATGATCCAGTGAAGATCGTGAAGGCAAAAGGCCAGTATATGTATGATGAGAACGGGAGACAGTACCTTGACTGCATAAACAATGTCGCTCACGGTAAGCTGAAGTCATGGTATTGGATGTTATTTGATGCTGTGTTTTTTTAAGGAGAACAAATAACAATCAGTACTTTTACTATGGTTGCACTGTGCTGGGGGAGGGGGTGTTTAATTGGAAAAGTGGAAGGAAACTTTCTTGAGCATGTAGTTTGGCGAATTAAGAGTTTTTTGAATTTGTGTGTGTTAATGTGCTTTCCAGATTTGTTTCCTGTCCTGTCTTCCTAGAAATGGGTCTAAAACATACAGGTTTTTTTCCATGGAAACTCCAGTACAGCACCTCACTGTAAACTGACAAATGACATTTTGTTGTTTTTGTAAAAGTTACTGTTAAGTGTACAATCACAGAACCACTGCTCAGTGTGATGCCTTAATTGTGTATATAATTAAGTGACTGCTGCTTTCTTACAGGATTTGAAATCTCTCTACCTAGTCCCTACCAGGGCTAGTAATTCTTTGATAGAAGCTTAACTGCACCTTCCCAGACTTCTGAAATATAAATCCCTAAATCCAAGCATCAAATCAGACACTATTTGTTTTAGCATGTCAATTTCCAGTACTAACTACAAACCTTAAATACAGTAGGAGGCAACTTCAAGCTTTTTGAGGAGCACAAAAATGTTTTTACAAGTTGTACCATTATTAAAGCCCCACTGATAATATCTCTGTACTATTAGAGAAATGTAAGTGTTAAGCTGGCATGTGAATGAACACCATAGGTAATATGAAGAACTCTCAAACTACTCTCCACATTCTCTTGCAGTTGGGCACTGTCACCCTGATATAGTAAAGGCAGCCCATGAACAGAATCAATTGTTAAATACAAATTCCCGTTACCTTCATGACAACTTGGTTGATTATGCAGAGAGACTTTCAAAAACACTACCTGAGAAATTATGCATCTTCTATTTTTTGAATTCTGGGTAAGTTGGGTACATTAGACTTGATACTAGGGCTTTACTACATATATAAAGTACACACTTTCTCATCAACAACCATTTTCAGTCTGGAGTGGATTGACTAGATACTGACAAAACCATGGGTTCGGTTCTGCAAGCTTTCTACCTGGGAACTGAACTAGTGCTTTATTTAAGAAGGGTTTTATTCTATTTGTAAGACCTTGGACCACAAAACAGTAATGTAAATATTTAGTGTATTGGTTTTTTGTCTGATTTTCTTCTAACTTGACAGTTATTCTCAAAATTAAATTTAAATTAAAAATTAAAACAATGCATTTCTTCTGCTGGGGTGGGGGGCATACTCCTAAGCAAGTTTAAAAGGAAATTAAAAAAGCCAAATTGTTTCTGAAGTAGTTCCTGTACTCTGACTTTTTAAGATGAATTCTGTTCTGGTGAACAGTCCTACCTAGTGAGTGCTTATTACTAAGGAATTTGTGCATCAAGTTCTGTCTGTTCTCTGCAGACACAAAGAACAGTGCAGAGGAGGTTAGATTTCAAAACTCAAGACATCCACAAATGAAACAATTACTGAATTTTTCCATTGTAGATCTGAAGCCAACGACCTTGCCCTGAGATTGGCACGGCAGTACACAAAACATGAGGATGTTATCGTTTTAGACCAGTGAGTAATTTGGCGGTTTGGGGGTATAAGGCTCAGTTTTGGCTCATGGTCAGAGCATTTCTGAAATCCTCCTGTAGTAGAAAGACTAACCAGGAAGCTGAGGGAAGTAATTTTTCGCTCTGTTCAGTATTTACCTGCCCTGCCCTGAGAGCTGTGGTTGGGCTCTCCAGTACTTGACAGCTGTTGACACACTGGAAGGAGGCCAGCAGTGACCTGCCATGATGGGAAGGGAGCCACAGCAGTTAGAGGTACTGGGTTTGTTCAGCTGCAAGAGACAGCCAGACAGATCTCACTGCAACTACAAGTGTCTCATAGGAAGGAGCAAAAAAGACGGGAGCCAGGTGGTGGAGATGTATGGTGACAGGAAAAAAAGACCTCAGATGTAAGTTCAAACCTGAGAAATTTTGATGAGACAGAAAAAACAAGTATTTTGCCATGAAGGGAGTCACATATTAGAACAGAATGCCTACATGCCTACAGTCACTGGAAACTCCACTGTTGGAGGATATTCAGAAATAGGCCCTTCCTGTTGTTCTGCAGTCTTGTGATACTGCTCAAGTGTTCCGTGCTGTGATTCCAGTCACTGGTGCAGGCAAACCAGTGGTAAGTCTTGTCCCTCTGCATCCTTTATATAAAAAAAAAAAAAAAAAAAAAAAAAAAAAAAAAAAAAAACAAATGGTGCTAAGCTTACTGATAGAAAAGAAAC